CTGAGGGTGACGCCAACCGCAACACGAAGATGATGATGCAGTACGCCCACCGGGTTCCCATCCAAACGGCGCTTGGGCACGATCCGAGCGACGCGACGCCACTGGGCGAGACGTTTCTGGTGGACCTTCTGCGCGATGACGCGACGAACGCCTATTTTGTGCGACTGCGGTACGCAGCTGCGGCGAATGGTGCACCGGCTGCCGCCTTCTTTCCGTTCCGTTGTCTCAGCGCGGCCGACGTGCCGACGGATGCCACCACGGCGGACGGCGTCATTTGCCCCTTCGACGACTTTGCCCGGTTTGTTGAGTCCAGCAGCGGCACGAGCGCTGCCGGGGCTGCCTGCTACCTTGACGAGGAGACAAGAAAGAAGTTTGGGTGCAGCGTGGAGGGCGCCGCCCCCTCGCCGGAGTGCGCCCGCTATCGTGCCATGTGCCCGGCGCAGGCGTGTCCCGGAGGTCAAGTCTACGATGTGAGGGACGACTCGTGCAAACCCCGGGTGGTTTTGAGCGACGTGATCTCGAATGGTGCCGGGGTTGCTGTGGGCATTGCGGCCGTGGTTCTTGGCTTCCTGCTCTCATTGTTTTTGATGCATTTGTGTCCAATGCTATGCCTGACGAAGGGTGCCAGTGAAATGCATGGGGACTGCCCCGGTGACGTGGAAGTCTCTGCTGTTCCACGACAGTGAAGGCGATGAGAGAGATGCGCCAACGCCGGAGAGAGTGAGCAGTGAGTTGGTCAATGGCGGCGTTTTGGAGGGGGAGCGAGGGCGTGCCGACGCGAAGGGAGTATTGTTACTGCTAGCTTCTTTTTGTGGTGTGTTATTCGTGTGCAATCGGTTTATCAAGGTGCTTTTCGAGTAAAACGAGATGATGTCGAGGAGGAGAAAATGATGGACTTGTGCTTTGGTAGGTGGCGGGGGATGTTTACGACGTTGCTGAGGTGCGGACACATGACACCACCATGTTGTTTTGGGAATGTGATGTGAATGGATCCTCTGGTGATGCCGTCTAATTCAACGTGCTGCCACGGTGGATGACCCCCCGTATAGTTGTGGGAAACCAACTGCATGCAATGTTTTTATCATGGGGTCATGGCTGTTGTGGGGGCATCGGTGACGGCATCGACTAGCGCCTAAAGCAATTTCAAGTTTCTGGGACGGAGTTGTGGCACCAATGGGTTCTGAGGGGCACTTATTTCCGCACTGTGGGCTATCGAATTTATTTGAAAAAAAAAAAAAAACGAAAAGAAAAGAAATATCAACAACAACAACAAAAAACCAGACGAGGTGAATTCGGCCGACGGGAGGGCCTGCGCGACAGCACGGACGTGTTGTTGGAATATCTGGTGAGGTGACATTTTGGTTGCCTGAAAAAAAAAAAAACGAAGGGAAAACTATGGAATTTCAGAGCATGATGGAATCAAGTAACGAAATGGGAGGAGGGATGATGAGTGCCCCGAATGATTCATCGATTGCAGAACAATTCAAGTCAAAAGAAGCTCGTTTTTTTCTTTTTCACTTTCTTCGCGTGGATTTGTTTTTATGCGTTTGTTGGTGTGTGCCACGTGTGTGCTTTGAGCTGCGGAGAGACCCTGAGATTAAGAAGGAATAAAAGATGGCATGGTGCAGGGAGAGCGGAATGCACGAAGGAGAAAAGCCCGCTTGGGAAAACCGCATCAACGCCGACAGTCGCCGAAAAAACAAACAAACAAAAACGAAAAGGCATTCTTTTTTTGTTTTTGTTTTTTATTGTTCTGGAGAGAAAGGAAAGAAAGGGGGTGATTGGGATTGGGGAAGGAAGCGATGGGAAAGGGTGGCTTTGGCGCGGCGGAAAAAATGGGGCGACGGAAGAAGAGAAAAAAGCGGAAAAGAGAGCAAATGTTTGAAGTGGGAGCAAAAAGGAGGTAACGACATGGCCGTACACGTCTTTGGTGCGTGTGGATGTCTCCTTGAAGACGGTGTGACTCACCACTCATGCCATTTGTACATTCTTTGGCTCCATTTCTTCTTTTCGTCCCATTTCTTTTATCATTATTGTTGTATTTGGAGTCATGCGACTTCTGTGAAGTCGTCTTTTGCTGCCACGCTGAACGGAGCATCGGGTTTGGTTTTGGTTTTTGTTGAAATGCCCTTTGGCCTTTGTGCCCTCTCATCCATGTATGCTGTTTTTTCCTCCACCTTTTTTTTTTTTTTTGCTTGCCCGCGTTTTTCACTCTTTTTTCTGTTTGTTTGTTGTGGGGGCGACTGGGAAGTGTCACTTCTCGATATGGAGGCGGGCGATATTCTCCACGACATAATGGGCGGTAACGGTCCCCCGCTGCCGCAGCTGCAGGCGCCACACGAGCAGAGGCATGAATCACTGCCTCGGCGCAGCAAACTCGTCTTTCTCTACAGCAGCGATGAGGAGGGCGATGTAGACAATTCTGAGAAGACGAGAGGCGTTGGCGTGGCGAAATTCACGGAGGTATTGACGCTGAACCTTCTGCCTAATGATCTTCGAGAGATGCGGCTTGAGGCCGAATTGGCGGCGCAGCATCATCCGCATGCTGCTTTACAGTCACCCGGAGATACAGAGCAGCAGCCACTTCTGTTCACGGAAGATACAGCGGGGGAAAATGTGTCATTTGCAGTTCAGGGCCGTGTGAAGGTGGTGGATGCGCTGCCGCTTCGAGAGTGTATTAGTAGTTTTGGCAACAAGGAGGTGCCATTGCGACGTCACCTGCATGCAGAGGAGACCAAACGACTCGCATACGCCCGAAAGCGATTTCGCGACGATGGCGATAATGAAGACCGCAGTAGCGTGGAGGATGCAGGTCAGTGCGGGGCGGCCAGTGGTAATGTCGTTGTTGCCGAGCCGCGGCCCGTGTTTGATGGCGACGGGTTGGCGCGCGCGATTGCTGTCGGTGGCTATCGACTGACGGTGGATGAACACGAGCTGCAGGTCTCCGGTGTTGGTGAGGATGTTGTGACTGGGGAGGTCGACATTGGCCACGACACCCTCGAAGATGATTATTTTGATCAAGAAGACGACGACGAGGAGGAGGAGGACGAGGAACTTGAAGAGGCGGTGGTGGTTGCGGTGGTGGAGCAGTTGGTGCGTTGCTGTGAAGTGGGCGAACTTGACGAGTCATTACGTGAGGCGGGGGAGAGGTTTCTTGTGAAGGCGCGATCGTGCTTGCAGCGGCTGCAGACTGGAGAATTGGACCTGGCAGCTTTTGGCGATGAGGTGCAGGGCGATATTTTGCGTCTTTCGCGTGCATTCCAGCGATTCCGTCGGCCCAAAGACGCGCCGGTTGTCATTGACGGTGTTGTAATGGACATGTGATTGACTCTGTGCGCATGTGCGCTGCGGAATGGCCGAGGAAGGGGGCGACGTATACATTTCCACAGAAACAAGAGGAGGAAAAAAAAAAAAAACAAAGAAATAACTGCACGAGGAGGGTGAATCGAAAATAAATGATTGTTACTTGCCGGTTTTTTTTTTTTTTTTGGCTGTTTGCTTTTACTCTCTGACTGCTGCTTCCTGCCGTCATGATGCACCGCATGAGGACTCTGCACCCTTCACCCTCTTTCTCTTTCTTTCTTTTTTTTTTTTTTTTGTCTTTGGTTATTTGCAGTTTTTTTTTTTGTCGTCGTGCGGAGAGCTCTCACGCCTCTTCCGCCTTTGTTTCTTCGCTTGTGTTTGTTTGGAGCACATCTTGCTTGTCTTGGTGGCTCTCTATCGAACCCTTGAAGTCGCCTCCGCCCACTTATCAGCGCACGCACTTTGCACGAGGTCCGCACGCAGCATCGCGTCGCCGCATTCGATTACTTTTTTTTGTTTTTTTCACCGTGTCTGGAAGAAGGGCAGAGAGCGTCATAACAGGAGCCTTTCGCCTTTTCTCTCTCTCTGTTTCTGTGTGTGTGTGTTTGCCCGCAGTAGCGTGTTCGGACTGGGGCGTGACCGTGTCAGGCATCGACCTCGCTGGGAGAAGGCACCGGAGGACGCGAGTCGTGAAGGAGAGGGAAGACCAGGCGGCTAGTGGAGAAGACAGCAGCGGCAGCACATCAGGGCAGGCGAAGACACATGAACCCGGCGGCGCAAGAGTTTGTCCCACGGAAGAAGTGTGCAATGGATTCCAATGCCATCCATATGATGGGTCGAAATCCCCCGCAGCAGCAGCAGCAAAAACAACCGCCACAAATATCACCACCGCCAGCAACAACAACAAAGTTGCGCGCAACGGCCCCCGCCTTTGTTCCGAAAGGCTCTCTCTTTCCCATGGCGACACCGCCACCAACATCGTTTTTACAACCTCCTGTGTCAATTCCACCGCCGGCCCTCGCTCCGCCGACGGTGCCGCAGTACGCGGATCCAAACACAGCGGTGGGTAGTGGGCTGCCAGGCCCGAAGAGTTTTTCGCCAAGCGCACCGCCGTACACGCCGGCGAACCCGAAGGTGGTAGCAAAATTTTCTTCGCCTCCGAAAACATCGGGATCCCCCAATCCAGACCCCAAGAAGACGACGCGGACACCATCGCCACACCCGGAGCAACAGCAGGAGGAAGAGCAGCCAAATGAAGAGAAACAGCCGCGGGAAGAGCAGGAACCAAAACCAGACCAGTCACCTTTGGCGCAAAAGGCGCAGACACTTGGAGTTTCTAATCGAATTGATTCAGCCCGACAGGAGGATTCTTTTGGTTCCACTTCTGCGGCTGATGAAACTAGTAGCAATGCGTTGCAGCAAACTGGTGCTTTAGGTGAGGCAGTGGAGAACGACTTTAGCGGCTCCGTCTTGCCGAGTGTGTTTGAGGTAAGTGTTGTTGCCAAGCCTCCTCCGGCGGAAGCGATACGGTTTAACACAGTATGGGCACTGCACGCCGATGATCACCCGACCCCGTTTGGGGCGCCACTAGCTTACGATCCCGTTCTTGTTCATTTGGTGGGGGATGTTGAGTGCTTCTGGCGTCTGTGGCGTTATTTACCACCTCCGTCGGCTTTGTTGCCGGCTTTTACGTACCATTGGTTTCGTCGGGACATCAAACCCAACTGGGAGCACGCCCGGAATAAAAACGGCGGCACGATCACAATTGTCATTTTTGACCGCGACAAGCCGGGACAAAACAGCAAGCAGACGATGGATGACGCCTTTATGACGATGCTTATGGCGTGCTGCGGGGAGACGCTTGCGGAGAGCACGACAAACCTCAACGGCATCATGCTGAAGGTGCGACAAAACAAACCCACAACGGTTCAGATATGGACGGCGAGCTCCGACCAGCGGAAGCTCAAGGCTCTGGCAGGCAGCCTGAGGAACCTGCTAGAGAAGATCATTGGCGCAAAGCCGCTCCAGAAGTTGGAGTATTTCTCCCACCAGCAGACCCAGGTGGGTGGGGCGGGTAGTTTGGCAGGGAGAATGAAGGGGAAACCCACGCGAATAACGCCGGACTTCACACTGTAAGGGGGGGGCACGCAACGAGGTGGAGCGAAAAAACAACGACAAGAAGAAGAAGAGGAAATGACAAAACAAAACAAAACAAAAATAAAAGAAAAAAAAGGGCGCTGCATTTCTTTTTCCCTCAACGCCTGCGGTGGTGGTGGTGGGAGCAAAAGCAGCATTAAGAGAGAAGGAAAGAAAAAATTATATTTACTCCTCTTTTAAAGAAAGAAAAAAGAAGAAAAAAGTAGTAAAGATGGGGAGGAGGGTGAGGAGGGATCTCTTGGAGGAAATAAAAATAAAAACAAAAACAAAACAAAAAGAAGTAATAATTAAATAAATGCCACAGCGGCATTTCAGATATCTTCTCACTTGATACCATGAAGTTTTTTTCCTCCTTTTGTTTTTTTATTGCCCCTCTATCCTTCTATCTCTCGCACTCACTTCGCTCCTCCCTGCTTTGATTATGTGCGTGTGTGCGTGTGGTTTGCCAGTGGGGCGGAAGCGTAACTGGTTGTTGTTGTTGTTGTTTGTCTACTTGTGCATGGAGGAGGGGAAGGAAGGAGGACCGTGAAAAAAAAGGGGGAGAGACGAGGAGAGAAGGATGAATGTCGATCACTTTCGGCCAGAAGGAAAAACAGAACACACACATTGCGGAGGAAGCACGATGGTGGTTGTGATACTGTTTTACTTTATTTTCGGAGATAGAGCGTGGCCTCATGTAATTACAGTATGCCTGTGTGGGATTTTTTTTTTTTTTTTTTAGGTTTTCTACTTCTTTATTATTATTATTTCTGGCTTGTGGGTGGCTTGGTGCGTCTAGCAGTTTTATCCATTATTTTTCTTTTTTTTCACTGTAAGCTGCTGGCCATAGTAATGGAGGAGATTTCACATTAGTTCTTTCCTCATGTATGCATGCTGACAGATTGCCACCCGTCATGCAACGTCGCTGTTTATTTTTGCCGCACTGGAGGGATGTTTATTGCCAGACTTCGTATGGCAGGAGGTTTTTGCGCTTTTTTTTTTTTTTTTTTATTATTCCTTCTGTTGCCACTTTTTTTTTTTTTTTTTTCCACTGCTTTCTTTTGGACTTCTTACGTTTGTCCTTTTTTGTCGCTGCGTGTGGCGCTGTTCTGTCATGTTGGGAACAGAGGCGCGGGGAAAGACGGTTCACGTCGTGTGCGCGCAATGGCAGGAGGCGACGGAAAGAAGAGACGTGAGGGGGAGGAAAATAACAGAAATTAAAAGGACAGGTGATGACTGGGAGGCGCATTTACAGTAGGCGTCCATGCGTGTCTCTCTCTCTCTCTTTGTGTGTGTGTGTCTGTGCTACTTATTTTTGAGGAGGGGGGAGGGCCTGGCGGCTGTGAAGAAATGAACGATGAAAAAAAAAAAAAAAATAAGGCGGAGAAGAGGTGCGATGTAACGATAACACGAGGCAGCAATAAAAAAAGGGGCGGTGGGCCGCAGGGAGACGGCGTGGCCGCCAGAGAGAGAGAAATAAAGAAAAAGAGAGAGAGAGGGATTGAGGGGGAGTGCCGGTCATAACCACCGGCCTTCTTACCGGGCCGCGGCGGATGCAACGCCTCTTTCCCGCCCCCCTTTGTTTTTGTTTTTGTTTTTTTTTTTCTTTTTTTTTTCCCCCTTACCAAACATGCGGACCGAAATAACTTCTTCCACCACGCACCCGCGGAAGATAAGAGAGAGTGACGGCGCGCCGAGGATCACGCAGACCCGCCCGTGCAAAGTGAGAGGGAAGAGGGGAGGAGGGCTAATAATAATAAAATTTTTTTTTTTTTTTTGTGTTTTTTTTAACATTTTTTTAAATTTATTTGTATGACGCGCATTTAAAAACAACAAACAACAACAAAAAAGGTGAGGGGTGGTGGTGGTGGTGAGGCGGCGTGTTTGGAATTGTGCGGAAGGAAATGAAGGGGACATGCGGGAAACACGGCCCCCCCCCGCCCACCCCCCCCTGACGTTTTCTGCCTTACGGTGTGGGGGCCGCAGCGGCAAAAGAATGGGCCCGGCGTGGGGGATGCGCACTGAGCCGGGGACGGAAAACAAACATCACACACTTCCACTGAAAGAGGAACGAAAAGAAGAAGAAGAAGGAAGGCGAAAAGAAATTAAGGCAGTCGTGCACTTTATTTATGGAGGCTTGCGAGGGAGAGAGTTGATTGGAGGGAACGAAAAAAGACATCGCTCCGTGCTGCAAAGACGGCACACCAGACGCCCTCCCTTCCCCTCAACAACTCCTCCTCCTTCCCAAAAGAAAGCAGGGAGGGGAGAAGAGGAGGAATCAGGCACGAACGAAAAACAAAACAAAAAAGCATCAGAAATAAAAGCAATAAAAGAGCACCTGCCTGTGTGTGTGTGTGTGTGTGTGTGAGGAGGGTGGCCCTCCGTAAAAGAAGTGTGGGTGTCTTCTTAAGGAATTTTGTGGTCCTGACGATGATGTTGGGGGATGCCGGCATTTGTATTTTTTTTTTTTTTTTTTCTTCCCTCTCTCTTCGTTGGTCCCGCCATTTCAGTTCGCCAGCGATATTTTGTCAATCAACAGAAGGAAAACGGAAGTGTGGGGAAATCACACAAGAAATAAAAAGCGAATAGAAAGAAAAAAAGAGAGCGAAAACAACATCAAGGAAAAAAGGAGAGGAAGAAGAAAGGAACGTGAAAACATGTTTCGTCGTGGTGTTTCTGTTACCACAAAGGGAGTGATGAATGGGGTTTGCCTCGCCGCGTCCATGCGCAGTCTACACTACACCCCACGCGTAAGGGATGTCCAGTTCCTTATGGAGGATGTGTTTGAAATGTACCCGCACTACGAAAAAATGGGTCGTTCTGATGTCAACAAAGAACTTTTTGAGAGTCTTCTTGAAGAGGCCTCAAAATTAGCCACCCGCACACTTCTCCCGCTTTACACCTCCTCTGATGATGAGGGATGTCATTTGCTAAAGGATGGAACGGTAAAAACACCCAAAGGCTTTAAAGAGGCGTATGCATCCTACAAGAATGGTGGTTGGGTTGGGATGTCACTTCCGGAGGAATATGGTGGACAGGGCTTGCCAGGGTCCGTTGGATTTATCTTAAGAGAGTTAATGGCGACGGCCAACTGGTCTTTTGCCATGTATCCTGGTTTAAGTATGGGTGCGGCAAATACGCTTTTGGCGTGGGGAAGCAAGGAACAGAATGAAGTGTACCTCACCAAACTTGTCAGTGGTGAGTGGACAGGTACCATGTGCCTCACAGAGCCACAGTGCGGGACGGATTTGGCGCAAGTGAAGACGAAAGCGGAACCGTGTGCGGATGGTAGCTATAAGCTAAATGGCACAAAGATATTTATTTCCGCGGGTGACCATGACATGACAGAGAATATTGTTCATATTGTCTTGGCAAGGCTGCCCGATTCTGTGCCCACAACAAAAGGAATTTCACTTTTCTTGGTACCACGTCATGTAGTGAAGCCGGACGGATCACTGGAGACGAATAAAAATGTCAAATGCGTAGGTTTAGAGTCTAAAATGGGAATCAAAGGGAGTGCCACAGCCCAGTTAAGCTTTGAAAACTCGGTGGGATATCTCATCGGAGCGCCTAATGAGGGGATGAAGCAAATGTTTACTTTTATGAATACAGCTCGCGTTGGAACATCCCTGGAAGGTGTTTGCCACGCCGAGCTTGCGTTTCAGAATGCTCTCAAATACGCGCGCGAACGTGGATCCCAGCGTTCCCTCAGCGGGACGAAGTGCCCGGATAGGCCTAATGATCCCCTTGTGTGGCATCCAAATGTCCGCCAGAACATCCTTTTTGCAAAGGCTGTCGCCGAAGGTGGTCGGGCCTTTTTAACGGATATGGGTCGTCTGCTTGACATTCAGGGTGAAGCAAAGGATGCATCACTGCGGGATGCACTGGAGCACGAGATTGGCTTTTACACACCCATCGCCAAGGGATGCCTGACAGAGTGGGGCTTGGAGGCTTCCTCACGCTGCCTGCAGGTATGGGGCGGACATGGATACATTAAGGGTAACGGCATGGAGCAGATTCTTCGCGACGCGCGTATTTCTACGCTGTACGAAGGCACGACGGGTATTCAATCTCTTGACTTCATTGGCCGCAAGGTTTTGAAATCCAGGACGGATGAAGTCGCTCGATTCGGCGCCAAAGTGAATGCACTTGTGCGTTCTCACTTCTTCTCTCGTGGTGTCGTTGGCAAAAGCTCTCGGCGTCTGTGGACGTTGCAGAAACAGTGGAGGTTGGCCATCACGAAGGTGAAGATGGGGGCCATGAGCGACATTGACTCCGTGGGTACCGCCTCGGAGGACCTGCTGATGTGCACAGGCTACCTGGTGCTGGGCTACTACTGGCTGCGAATGGCAATCGCCGCGGAGAAGAAAGTTGCCGCCGGCCAAGATCCAGATGGGTTCTACCAATGCAAAGTGGACCTCTGCCATTTTGTGTTTCAAAATATCCTTCCACGGGCGGATGCACACTTTCACATCTTACAGGCCGGCTCCGAAATTGTGAGGAGCAACGAGGCAGCGTGGGACCTCGCGTAAAAGGGCGGCACTCCTTTCATTGCACGCCCACAACGACCCACCCGATATAAAAGCAAACAACATACATGTATGCATGTATGCATATATATATATGCACGTATATGTGCATGCAGAAAGAAAAAATAAAATGGAATGCCTGGGAGGTGCGCAAAATACGCCCTCCTCGCAAGAAAAAGAAAATATGCGAAGCCAAAACGGAATGAGAAAGAACAACAACAACAACAACAACAAACGCCGACAAAAACGGAGTTTTTTTTTCTTTATTATTATTATTATTATTATTTGCGAGCGCAATGACTCCTGTTTATTTATTTATATTTCCAATTTTTTTTTTTTTTAATTTGCCGAAATTTGTTTCTTCGTGTGCTTGCGTCCGTCCGTTTCAGTCGGTGTTTCTCTTTTCTTCGCGGTCCCTAGGTTGCGAGGAGAAAAACGAGGGGGCATGCGTTCTTTACCTCTTGAAGATCGGACGCGTGGTTTTTTTTTTTTTTTTTGAGAGGGTGTCTGTGGCTGGATGGGGGATGATGCATGCACACACAGACCACACATGCATGCGCGCATGGAGGAGGCGGGGGTGCTGTGCGATGTAAAGCGCAAATCAAATAAAACCGTAAAGAAAAAAAAAGGAGAAGGGAAAAAAAGGGGAAAAAAAAGAAAAAAGAGTATGGGAGATGAGACGAATGCATCTATACAGATATACGGCTTTGTTTGTTTCTCTGTGTGGGTAGGGCCTGCTCTTTATTGTTATCTACATGTGTGCCGCTGTATAATGGCAGTTACCGACTGACTCCTCCGTGACGTCGATTAGACTCTCCGTCTCTCTCTCTCTCTCTCTCTCTCTTTTTCTTGTGTCTGTCTGTGTGTGCTTGTGTATGCCTGAAAATGAAAGTTTTTGACGGTGCTTAGCCCATTGCGACTGTTGTTTCGTTGCGTTACTTTTGCAGCGAGCAATGACGTTAAGGAACGACTGGCGTGTCTGTTTGTGGGAAGGGAGGGGAATTATTTACATGCGGCGGTAGGCATATTTCCATGCATATACTTCCGTCTGCATTGAGGAGGGGAGGGGGGACGAAGAAAGCGCACACAACTTTTTATTTTATTTTTTATTTATATATATTTTTACCGTCTGTCTGTCCGTGGCGGTTCCGTTACAAACGCGGTTGAGATTTTTTGTGCAGGTGATGCTTCTGCCTTCTAATTGTGTTTTCTTGCGCCGCCGCCTATTTGCAAATGCCCCTCCACCACACAGTGAGAGAAGAAGAAAAAGAGGAGCGCAGGGGCTTTTTTTTTGTTGTTTAGAAGTCTGTTCTTTGTGCTCAGAAAGAAAAGAAAAGAAAAGTCACACACACTCACACAAGGTCTGTGGGACACGTTTAGAGATGTCAGCTGCGGGATCGCGTGAGGAGATGTTGGAGGCGCTGCAGAAGGCGAAGCAGGCGATGGCGCGTCGCGTCCCGGTAGTGACGCTACAAGAGACGCCTTCAGAGGGCGGTGAGCTGCAGTTGCAGGACGCAGAGACGCAGCCGTCTTTTTCTCGGCCGCGGCCACACGTTCCTTCCGAGGCGAAAACCAACAGAAGTCACTTTTTTGACACGTGGTGCCGCAAGATTGAAATGTTTGTTGCGGACCCCACGAAGACGGTGTTGGAGTTGCCGAATGATTTGGCAGCGAACGACCGCCGCGAGCTTCACAGCCTGGCAGAAAAGTATAACCTCAGCCACCAGTCCCGTGGGTCGGGGGCCACGCGGCAGCTAGTGCTGAAGAAAGATGCTCTTCACTACAGAATGCCGGACGCACGTCCCGATAACATTGAGACAATTAAGCAGAATGCCGGAAGCAAACAGTCCAAATTTCATCTGCGTCGGTTCGTGCAAGACCCAGACGCGGCGGTCGGTTCGATTGGGGCATTTGCGGACGAGGCGACGGCAAACATGGTCCGCCGCTTGGACAGAGCAACCGATGAGTATCGCAGGGCGGTGGAATTGGGCTACTCGCAAGAAGAACTTCTTGCAATAGAGGCGGGAGAAAGCGTGGAAGAAATTTTGCGTCGTGGTGGCGATGGGAGACTGCTACTCCCATCGGCTGTGGAGCAAGCCAGTGGCGATGTTGGTTCTGTTCCATCTGTGGCCACGCACGGTGGCAACGAGGCTCTTCACGGCGTTCCTCCAGATAACCGTAAAGGAAAGATTTATGAAGAGGTTTGCCTTCGTTGTGGAACACGCGCACATGTTGACTATGATGTTCAGAAGTGGGAGTGCAACGGCTACTGCGCCCAGTGTGCCACGCAGACCATATGGAAGCTGGTGGAGCTGGACGGGGTGAAGGAGGAACTGGTCCATCCTTCCTTCAAGAGAGATCGGAAGCGAAACTTCCAGGAGATGGAAATGGAGGCAGCACCGGCAATGCGAGAGCCGGAGGAGATTGATAAGGACAATGACGAGGATGACACAATCACCGTGGAGGATGTAGTTGACATGGCAAGTATGAATGACTTCTGTGCCGCGGATGTCAACTGGATTCGTAGTTTTGCGACGCATCACCAGCCACGGGGCAGCGGGAATATTCTTAGTGCGCACATTGTGTTTTGTATTGAGTTTGAGGATCTTTTTAGCATGCGCATTTTCCGTGACTTTTTGTCATTGGAGGACAAAAAACATGCCATGAAGGAGCGAAAGCGTACGAGAGAAGAAAGCAATGCGGCGGATCAGAAAGACAAGGGTCACTGTGGGTGGTTTCTGCGCCTTTGTGAGGTCAAAGAGACCGGTGTGCCCCTGTCAACACTGCTTGAGGAAATCAGCTTGTGTATTCCTGAGCGATACGATTGTCTTGCCGTTGCCTTTCCAAATATGTCTGTGTATGGTGCAGTGGCCAGTTGCGTGTGTCTTATTCAGTCCAATAAAGTGGAGGAGAGTAGCCTAGAGATACTACAGAGAAAGTATGGGAAGCGGAGTATTCAATTTGCTCGTGATCTTTGTGCTGTTCTTTTGAATGGTGGGGAAACTGCATCCGTGTCATGAAGCTAGAATTATCTAATATATTTTATTTTTGGTTTTGTTTCTTGTATTTATTTTATTTATTTATTATTTTCGTTGTTTTTGTTGTTGTTGCTGACTTTTTATGCTGCTTTTACTTAACTTTTTTTTTTTTTTTCTTCTTTGGCCGATTTCTTATTTGTACGTGCACAATGACAAGGAGTCGTGTGCGGGTGAGCCCTCTTGAATTAATGCGTCGTGGTGCGAGTGCCTTTGCGGCGGCCAGTCTTCAGGCCGCGACAAACACACTGATCGCACGAAGAAGCTGCGCAGTGTTGCCAGCGCTTTTCACAGCGGATGTCTCCGACGGCAAAAAACCCGCGAAACAGAGCTCCCAGAGGAATGAACCGGCATTACTGCCGCATCGATCACATGTCGTGTCGCCCGAAGGAGAGGAAGCGTTCATCAATCCTTTTACGGGTCGCTTGACCTCGTCGAGTAGCCGCGTGGCGAAGGAGTTGTTGCGTGTGGGATTTTTGCGGAGTGCGGTGAATCCTTTTCGTCTTACATGGGACGCAAAGAAGTGGCATGCAGCGGGTGCTGCAGCGGTGAAGCCTTTTCAGAGTTCAATGGTTGGATGGAGGAAGAATTTGGCTGCGCTGTTGACCCGAGAAGACGCCGCCGACGCCGTGGTGGAGGAGGTGCAGCGGCTGTACAGTGAGCTCACAAGTGCGTACTTGCCACCCAAGCTGGACACCATGCACGATCCTCAGCTTTCAGCGATGGAAATGACACCCGATCAGGAAAACGCCATTCGTTGTGCTCTGCGTGGATACAACATGTTTGTTGGTGGGGGTGCTGGGACGGGAAAAACCGTGCTTCTCAAAGCTATGCACCGCCGCTTGACAGAAATGGGGCTGCGCGTGGCCATGACAGCAACAACGGGGGTTGCATCGGTGCAGCTTGGTGGGTGCACGTTTCACCTGGCCTTTGGGGTGCCGGTCGTTGCGGGGGAACACTCCAAGAAGAGGTGGGACGCCAACGCATTTCGCGCGGTGGATGTTGTGATTATTGATGAGGTCTCTTTATTGGACGCGGAACTCTTTGACGCCTTTGAGTTGGAGGCACGAATGGCCCGTCTCCAGCCACTCCCGTTTGGCGGTCTTCAAGTCATTGCCTGCGGGGACTTTTTACAGCTTGCATCCTCTGACAGCACGTTTAGTGGTCCGTGTTACCAGAGTGATGCCTTTCGTCATCTCATCGCGGTGCGTCTGGTGACGCAAATGCGTCAGGCAAAGAGCGATCCGCTGCACAAGTTGTTGGCGCAGCTGCGTGTTGGGAAGTTTGACCAAAAGTCTTTTGAGTTGCTTGACCGGCACGTGCCGGAGGACATGGACAACGTCACGTACATATTTCCAAGACGTCGTGAAGCACAGTTATTAAATGAAGAAAAGTTGGCCGAGCTACGGAGTGAGGAAATGACGTTTACGCCTCAGCGGGGTCCATTGCAGCTCGTTGGAAAATTTACCCCCCCTGGCCTGATTGAGTTTGCCAGGAAGAAGCAGCCCGTGAGCCGTGATGAGATTGTGCAGGTGCTGACAGAGGAGGTGAAGAGAGTCGCTGCGGTGGATGTTGTGGACCACAATGTTGTGGTCATGCCAACTCGATCGGATAAAAACGGCATGCTCATTCGTCTCCGCAACCCTGATGACATTGTGGCAGCGAGAGCCAATGGTGTTGGCGGCAATGCCAAAGACTACAACAGCTGCAGCAACACGGGTGGTAACACGTCTCGTTCCGGCAACATGCGTGACGTCCATGAAATATCAGCGGACCGTTGGAAAACAATTTTGGAGGCCACCGCAAAACGCCTCAAAGCAACGCTCCGACGGATATATGAGGAGGACCCGCAGGGGTTTGTCCCGATCAGCGTTTCTATGATGCTCGCCGATGTCGCCAGCCAGCCAAACGCCGAACACCTCATGCCTTTGCGGCTGAAGTTGGGGTGTCGCGTTATGATCAACCGCAATCTTTCGCGGACTGTTTCAAACGGTAGCGTGGGCGTAGTTGAGGCCTTTGCCGTACCCAACCCGGACTTGTTTCCCCGTCGCCATGAGACGCCAGTGAGGACAATGTATGGACGACTGCTTGAGAAAAACATGTTTCCAAAGCTTCCGATTGTCCGTCTGTTGGATGGTGAGGTTGTGCAGGTCCCTCCACTTTCTCTCATGGTGGGAGGTACACCTGCAACCTTTTTTTATGGTCACGAACTTTACTTGTTGCCAATGCAGTTGGGATACGGTTTTACAGTACACAAGGTACAAGGACTTACCCTGCAAGGGACTGTTGTACTGGACTGCAAGCACTTTTTTGAGTGTCCCCATCTTGTTTATGTGGCCTGCTCACGTGTGCGGACTCTGGACCAGCTTATAGTAAAAAACATTAAGGGCGACATGGTAATAGTGAAGCGGAGTGCGTTGGAGTTTTCAGAGAAACTAAGAGATGCTTCAGTCATCACAAATTTGTTGCCACCGGATGGCTGCACTCGGGCCTCTTGGGTGGATCGACTGCGTCCGCGTCTCATGGGTTTGAGTGAGTGAGACAGTGATCGTGCTGGTTTTTTTTTTCTTTTTTAAATTCTTTCCGTCCCTTTCTTTCTGCTTTTTTCTACTCCTATTGGGGATTCTCCGTTTATTGTTTACACGAGGGGCGAGGGAGGTGTTGATGAAAACAAGAGGATTGCCAATGGTTGTTATTTATTTATTTATTTATTATTTTTTTCCGGCTTTTGTTCTTTTTTTCACAGCCGTGCCTGCGTGCGCCACCACCACCACCACCATCAGTCCGTTGTTGTTTTTTTATTTTCTTTGATGGTCAAGTGCGTGGGTGTGTGGGGACTCCAGTTGCCTTTGTTTTTAACAGAAGTTTACTTGTTTTTTTTTCTTTTCTTTTTTTGGTGTGTGTGTGTGTGTGTTGAGTGTCTTTGCGGTGATGCGCCCTTTTTGTGTGGCCGCATACTCTTTGCGTTGGGTGTTGTGTCTCATCTCACTCATGCCGCCTTTTTGCTTTCATATTTTTATTTTTTGTGAGGGAGGGAGAAATGGTGCAACTGGCGGGTCTCTCACGGGCATACGCTGTCCTTCGGCAGCTTGAGCTGCTGCGCCAGCAGGACGTGCTTGACCCGCTGCCGCCCGACACCGAGACGGAGACCGAGGCGGGCAGCAATTTGTCGGACACCGGGCGGGGCAACGGGAAAACTGCTGGCGCGCCCACCACGCTGACGGATTGCTGCGCTGCTGGGAAGGGGCCTCGACTGGAATCATCTCCCATCATCACCACTGCCGCCAAATCGAGTGGCGACGGCAGCAGGGAGAACACAACACACGCACCGCAGTGCACTGAGGCATATGTGAAGGATCTGCCGAGCCTGCAGGAGAGGATGTCACATCAATCTGTCGATTCGCCAATGGTGGGCAACGGAGAAAGGGAGAGACGGCTCGTAGAAGAGTACAGCTATGACACGACGGAGTCTGTAACATCGGGGAGGAGGCTTTCGCCCCATCCTTCCATGGATGGAAGAGCGCAGGCGCTGCAGCGTGTGCTGCAAGAAATTGTGGCGAGGCGGAGGCAGGCCGGTGAGAAGGCAGTGACGCCCGACCACGATGACGTTCATAAGCTAACGCAACAAGATCCGTATCACAGGGCAGGCGTTGCCTTTCGTCCTTCAGGCAGGTGTTCCAAGAAGATCTCGTCGCGGTTACTGTCGCCATCACGGGGCATCGATGGAGAAGAGGACGTTTTTTTTGATGAATCACCTCTATCATTCGGCATTTGTACACGTGGCACACCGGGGAGGGAGGCGGGGCAGCGGATTTATGACAGTCATGAAAAGTCTTGCGCGGATGAGGAGGAAACACGTAACGATGTTCCTCATGCAAAAGAAGGAGAGGAATATTCCCCCAGAGCCGTTCCGCTGGTCTACAGCCCCCCGAGGGGGAGGAAGGATTTGCTGACTTATTCCGCCGTGAGTGAATACACCAAGTCACTCCTACGCCAGCGCAGGCAACGCCACGAGAAAATAAAGGCCGAAACTCAACAACAACAAAGGTGTCGTACTGTTGACGCCCAGAGGCGACTGGACACGACACCGTTGAATGCCACTCTCTCACCCATCGCTTGTATTGAGAATCCCGACAAAGACGTCTCATATAATCTCAGTCGGAATCTCGAATTTGATTCTCTGCAGGAGGAAACTGTAATTCCACCGCTTCCCTTATTTATCCAGGAGTTACTCGTTATGGGTTCAGCAGAGATGCAAGAGAAACTGCGTGGGATGGAAGGTTGCTGCAATGGGTCTGCGATGTGGTGTCGGGATTGGTTTGCGCTTACGGCTCTTGTGAACAGTCCTGATGCCATCCGTCATGTCATCCTTCCTTTGCTTCTTTTAGAGTTACTGGAACAAAATGAATCGAACGAGCAGGACGCGAGTGATGCCAATTCGAGAATGTCGCATATTCTTTGTGCTCTGATTGGATTGGGAGGCCTTGCCGCAGGTGTCCTTTCACTGCTTCTGGATATGCTTACAAAGTCCCTTGGGTGTCCCAGACTTGTGGCACTTGCGATACGGGCTGTGGGCGGCGATGAGGGCCTGCATGCGCTTTGTCGTTTGGCACGTTGTGAGCAAATGGATCAAGGAGTTCACACGGCTGCAGTCTACGGCATCGGCACGCTAGCGTACCCTGCTCTTGGCCACACGGATGTTTACTGTGTTGGTGCACCCGGGCTGAATGGCACGATTGTGTTCTATCAGCCACCGGTTCTTGTAGGATACGTTGAGGTGGGAAACGATGGAGAGCGGCGTCGGGAGACGTCATTGCAATGTCCACCGCCGTATCGACCCACACATGTCATCTTGAGCGCGGAGTTAGTGCGCAATAAATTACTTCAGTTCACCGTTTCAAGGAATTTTAGGCGAGCAACGGGTATTTATGAAACTCTTCCACTTGTACTAAGGGATTTTGCCCGTGATGCGCCTGAAGCATGCCGTTTGCAGGGTTTATCGGATGATGTACAGGAAACACTACGGCGATGTGCGCTTGAGCTGGAAGATGTGTCACATTTTTCGGCCCGTGTGCTTCCATTTTCGTACGATCCGCATTATGCCGGTCGAAAAGAGGAAGTATTTGCAGTTGAGGAGGTTCTCATGAACGTTCTCTACAACCGAAAAACAACACTGGGTGTTGTGGAGCAGACACTTGTATCTATAGCTTCGCTTCCGGATTTTGCAACGACACACGCTGCGTTTCCTGTCCTTGATTATGTCATCAAATGCGTGACACGCTTTGAGCGAGAGGGCGATGCTGCCGTAGAGGGGGAGAAGGCCGTTCTTGTTGCAGGTCTTGTTGCACTGGGGCGCCTTTTGCGGAATGAAGGTACACCACCCGCTGTGATAGATACCGCTTGCGTTGTGCTACTGCATAATTTGGACTCGTCGTCGTGTCGTCTGCGTCACGCTGCTTGCATTGGGCTGGGCGAGGTTGGGGCTGTGGTGAATAATCCGGGGGTTGTCGCCCGTGCGCTCACCGATGCTTTGAGTGATGCTGCGATGAATCACGAGACTGTCGCATGGGCTCTCACTCGCCTGGGCCTACGGGGCGTGAGGGTGCTGCTAGACCAAATCGCTCCGGGCGATGGTAAAAGTGGCAGTAGGACCAGTGGTGATTGGCAGAAGAAGAAAAATGGCAGTCGGCATCATGCGGCGGCGGCGCTCCCAATCTCCACACGCATGGTTTGTGCTCGTGCGCTGGGAAAAGTTGACTTTTTGACGGTTTCGCTCGGCATTCACGAGGACGCACGCCGGTTGCAGGAGGAGTTGGTCCACCGACTTGCTGCGGCCATCACATCTGCTCAGATGGAGGAAGAACTTGCGCTTGAATGTGCTTATGCGCTCGCAGAGGCGGTGAGCATTAATCTTAACGGCAAGACACCAACTCCGTGCCGGGATGAAGAGGCGGCTAGTTACTACCGTAGTGAGACGTTGAATGAAGCCTTTCAGGTGTTGAAGGGACTTGTCGAGTCGATTCCTCTCCCTCTTTCTGTCAATAAAGCGTTGTTTTACTCCATTTGTCTCTATGGCGGGGCGCACGGTGAATTATACGCCTCTCAAACGGCTATTCAGGCCCCTCTTGTGGCATTGCGTGCAGCTGCAACCTTTGGTTTGCGTGCATGTGGGGGAAGAGTCATTCGCACGGTTGTGATGGCACTTAACGATGATGACGCCGCTGTGCGGGTCGAGGCGTTTGACACGCTGGATGCTGTTGGAGTCAAGGATGTTCTGAGAGTCCTGCGGACGCGTCCTCACAAACACACCCAGCAAGTGATTGCCGCGCTGCGGGACTCTCTTCTGCGCGACATGGGACGCGGAGCGAAGCGTCAGGCCGCACGGGATTTATACGCGGCCTTGCTGCGAGCTTGACGCATGTATGCACAAAGGTGGAGCACAGACCGACAAACGGAAAGACACATAACGTGCCATTGTGTATACGCCCTTTTCAGAAGAGAGGTGTGTGGACTGTACATTCTTTTTTTTTTTTGTATGGCTGTTATGATGGGTATACGTATGTGTGTGCGTGTATTTTTGAACGGTGTGGTGTTTTTTTTTTTTCTTGAATGTTGGCCTGTGAAGCACTCTATGTTTGAGAGTCTTTTACCATTTCTCAGGCATCATGTGCTTTCTCATTCACCGCAAAGTGTCCTCCATGTACGATGTGCATGCAACATCATACATGTGCTCTTTTTTTTGCTAGTTGCACGGCGTTCATTTGCTTTCATTGGTTGGGTTGTACTTTTGGCTGCCGTTCCTTTCTTTTTTTTTTTACTTTTGGGTTTTTTTCAAAGAGAGAGGAAAGAGTCCAATCGAACACTGCAAGCATGGGCAAGATCCGCACGAAGACGGTGAAGCGCGCGTCGAAGCAGCTGGTGGAGAAGTATTTCTCGAAGCTGAACAAGGACTTCTACCAGAACAAACGCGTTGTCATGGACGTCACCATCGCCCGCTCCAAAAAGCTGAAGAACAAGATTGCCGGGTATACGACACACATCATGAAGCGCCTGGCCCGCGGCCCCGTCCGTGGCATCTCGCTGAAGCTGCAGGAGGAGGAGCGCGAGCGCCGCATGGACTACGTGCCGGAGGTGTCGCATGTTGACCAGGCCATCCAGGACGGCGTGCACGTGGACAAGCAGACCTTCAGCATGCTGAAGCGCATGGAGACGGGCGTGCCTCGCCACGTGGCGCTCACCACCGTCGTGGCTCCTGTCACCAAGAAGGGTGGCCGCCGCGCGCCTGCCCGCAAGTGAGTGCCTGAGGCCATCGATGCGTGCGTGTGAAGTTCTTTTTGAAACTGGACCGGATGTCTTTTTCCCTTTTGAGTGCCACTGGCCAGGGGACTACTTCTTTCTTCTTTTTCTTTTTATTTATTTATTTGTTTTCATCGTACATAAAACAACGAAAAAATGAGTGGTGGTTTCACTCTTCCTCTGCGGGTGGTTGTGGTGTCTTTTCCCGTGCCTGCGGTTTGGCGGCTCGTGCTGTGTGACACCCGTGGCCTTTTTTTTTTTTTTCCTTTTTGCTTGCTGCTCTTACTGAACCCAAGTGAAGATCGAACACTGCAAGCATGGGCAAGATCCGCACGAAGACAGTGAAGCGCGCGTCGAAGCAGCTGGTGGAGAAGTATTTCTCGAAGCTGAACAAGGACTTCTACCAGAACAAACGCGTTGTCATGGACGTCACCATCGCCCGCTCCAAAAAGCTGAAGAACAAGATTGCCGGGTATACGACACACATCATGAAGCGCCTGGCCCGCGGCCCTGTCCGTGGCATCTCGCTGAAGCTGCAGGAGGAGGAGCGCGAGCGCCGCATGGACTACGTGCCGGAGGTGTCGCATGTTGACCAGGCCATCCAGGACGGCGTGCACGTGGACAAGCAGACCTTCAGCATGCTGAAGCGCATGGAGACGGGCGTGCCTCGCCACGTGGCGCTCACCACCGTCGTGGCTCCTGTCACCAAGAAGGGTGGCCGCCGCGCGCCTGCCCGCAAGTGAGTGCCTGAGGCCATCGATGCGTGCGTGTGTTTCACTGAAGCTCCTTGAGTGCTGGTGTGGCTGTTGATGGTCGATCTTCATTTGATGATTTTCCCCTTTTGTTTTTGTTTTGGCGATTGTTTTTGTAAAATAAACAAATAAAAGTATTTTTTTCTTGTACCGCATTCTGTTTTTTTTTTTTTTTTTTTAGATGGAGGCTTCTGCTGCTTTGATTGTCTGTTACCGTCATGTTCTTTTTTCTTTGAGCGATGTCTTTCCTTTTTTTATTATTGTTTTTCTTTTTTGAATGCGCTGATCAACACGCTTGCCTGCGATACGGACCCGCGGCACGCACTTGCAAAGGAGGCGGTGTGTGTGTGTGTTTGTAGGAGAATTGATGCGGGAGTCGGATCTCGTGGAGCTGCGTGTGCTGCCGAGGGTGTTCCCGCAACACCCGTATGCGCGGCACACGGCGGGTCTCGGTGCAAGGGGTCGCGCCACGTTGCCACATGTTTTGAGCAAAAGCGGAGTGCTCAATGTGAAGGTGATCGGCATCTATTGCTCTCGCCGGGCAGCGGGTGATTGTGCCACGCAAAGGGAGGAGGGAGTGGAAGGAATTAAGAAAAAGTTTAAGAAGGAAAATGGGGAAGAGGCGGTGCTGCCCAATGAAATTCTCGGCAATCGGGGCGGTGAATGTGAGGGGACAAATTGCAAGCGACATATTTATGTGCGTGTTCAGTTTAACAAAGTCCTTGTCGACACGGTGCCACTGGAGGTGATGCGGGAGAAGTACCCACAGGTGCTCATTGACTATCTGCTTTCAACGGCTGTCTGGACGTGAAGGGAGGAGCACGGGTGTGGTTTGTGCAACGAACGCGAGAGGAGAGCCAAAAAAAAAAAAAAAAAGGAATGGGGGTGGTGGCACACGCAGACTGCCGTCAGTGAGGGGTGCGGTGTAAATCATGGTTTTGCTGCCAACCTGTCCGCCTGTTATGTTAGGCAGTCGCAGTCTCAAATATTTTTTTTTTTTCTTTTTTACGTCTGGCATGTATCCCTGTTTTATTATTATCTTTTTTCTCCCCCTCTGTCTGTGGTTGACGTTGTTTCTAAAACAAATTCTTCTCGTCTTGTCGTTTCTCCCCTTTTATCAAATACACACACACACACACACACCAATCAACCAACAAAAAAAAACCCGACAATATCGATGTATCAGAGAGAAAACACCACGACAAACGAAAGATGACGGACGAAGAAAGAAGCGGCGAACCCGTACTAAAGTCACATCGCTGGGAAACAGCAGCTGGCGCCCCGGCATCGTTGCCGACATCATCACGCTGGGGAGCTGGGACACCGCGTCAGTTGGGTGGTGACACACCGAAGGTAATCGTGAACGCTGAGCTCTCGGCGTGGCGTGGCCACTCAACACCGACGCCAAGTGCCTACATGGTAGATTCCGTCAAGACACCGACGATGCGGGGACAGGGCGGACAGACACCTACGTTTGGTGCTGGGGGCACCACGCCCATGCTTGGAGGGACGACACCGATGTTTGGAGGCACAACACCGATGTTTGGAGGGACGACACCGATGTTTGGAGGCACAACACCGGCGGCGGGAATGGCATTTGGAGTCACCCCAAACCATCAGTTTGAGGGAACCACGCCTGTGCAGTCACGCTTTGCCGGAGGGGACTCACAATCGGCCATCACAGCCAACATTGAGGCGCAGGCCAGGAAGCTGGAGGTGCAGTGGCGGATGAAAAACAAACGACTGACGGAGGAGTACCTCGACACTATTCTCCCGCCCGAGTTCAAACTTGTAGAAGCACCCGCTGACTACAATCCACCACCTCCTGAGGAGCCAAATTTTTACGAGCTTGCCAGCAAGTCGTTGGATGTGTTTGTGGTGAATCAAAGTAACGATGCAGCGGCAGCCGTCACATATGACATTCCGGAGAGTCTTGGAGAAGGGATGCCGCAAATGAAACCGCAAGATGCACCGGTGTTCGAGATGCTTCTTAAGTACCACAATGTGAATCCCATTCCAGATGAAGTTCTGCCTTCTTATCTGCTCATGAAGAACCTCTTCAGGATCAAGAACGGTGATACAAATCAACGACGTATTGCCATGCGATTCTTACTAGACAAGGCCCGTATCTTTGGTAGTGAGCCACTTTTTCAATTTACCTTTCATGTTTGGCGATCGGGAATTCTCGACTTGCAGGAGCAACACCATTTTGTGGATTTTGTAAAAGGAGTGATTGCGAGGCTGCAGAAGGAGGTGCGGAGTTCCACAAAGGAGATTGTGCACATGATGGAGGTTCTTCTCTCAGCCCAGGAGGCCGCTGTGCGAGAGGATGGTAAGGATGTCCTTGCGCTTCTCACCCGTGTGGTTGGGTACGAGGCCGTGTTTGAGGCGATCAAGGAGGACTTTGCACATGTCGAGAACGGTGTGCGTCGTCACACGGCGAAGGTGGTTGCCATTGTGGGATACGCTGTGGGTCCGGCAACTGCGCTGCAGATTATTCACGGCATGTCACTTTCCCCTGTCGCTTTGGCGAGACAAACATCTGCACGTGCCATTACAGAATTGGCTTCCATCCTTATGCATGCCATCACCGCTGAACTCGTGGAACTGGTGCCCATATTTGAGAAGTTACTGCGTGATGAGCCACGTGTGAAGCGTGAGGCCGCTAACGCGCTTGCACATGTTGCGGATGCGACATGTCCGTACGGCATCGAGGAGTTAACGCCGTTGGTGCATATTGTAAGAGAGGAATGTAAACGTGGCATCGGCACTACCGCAGGGCCTTTTGTTCGTGCCTTTGGTTCACTTGTTCCGCTCATGGCGCCGTACGATGCACAGAAGTATACGTCCGACATGATGCCGACGCTTGTGAATCAATTTAACACTCCAGAGGATGAGCATCGGCGTGTGTTGTTGCAGGTTGTACGGCAGTGTGTTTCTGCGGATGGTGTTACCGCAAACTTTATTCGGGATGTCATTTTAAAGCCTTTTTTTGATGGCTTTTGGTCCGTGCGTCGTGTTGCTGCGGAGCGCAAGACGGCGGGTGCCCTCGTTGAGACAACTGTGGCGATTTCAAGGAAACTTGGGAGCACGGAGATATTACAGTACCTTGTGCAGGACATGAAGGATGAGAATGAGCACTTTCAACGCATGGTCATTGACACCGTGCGGCGTGTGGTCCGTGCCGTTGGGACGGTTGGTGTTCCCGATACTCTTGTTGCCCTTCTGCTCGATGGCGCCATTGCCGCAGTGAAGCAGGACGAAAGCGGACTGAATCGTGTGGTGCTGGAGGGGCTGGCCTCCATCTGCAACTCACTCGGGACACGATTGAAGCGGTACTTGCGGCAGGTATTTGATCTTATAAAGAGCCGTCGTGATATGCCCGGAATGATCCGTATGCAGGCAGCAGAGCTGGCAGCTCGCATTGCACACACCGTGAAGGAGGCCGAGGGCGTGCTTTTCCTGCAGGATCTTGGGCGAAGCCTTTTTGACCGCCTTGAAGACGACGAGGTTGCCGTGATGAGTGCAAACATTAAGGCCACACGTGCCATTTTAGTGGAGCTTACTGCAGCAAAGTACCAGCCTTCTGTGCGAGAGCTGCTAAAGAAATTGACGTACATAATTCGCAACCGTAACAGTAACGTGCAGCTGAACACAATTTTACTCATTGAGGAGATTGCGACAAACTGTGATGAGGACGTGGATGCCATTCAGCTACAAGATTTAGCCACAAAAGGATTGTTTGAGCTTCTTGACGCTGATCGCCGTGAAACGCGTCGTGCGTGTACCCGTACATTTGGCATTATTGCCCAGAAGATTCGTCCTTTTGCCATCATTCTCGAACTTGTCGATAATTTCAAACAGGACAAACGTAAGATCCGTATCTGCACCGCTGTGGCGTTGGGGGCTATTGCCCGTGAGTGCGGCCCCTTCACCGTGATCCCGTACATCCTGAACGAGTACAAGATCAGCGAGGGAGAGCAGGTGGCGACGATTGTGCAACACGCCGTCCTGAAGGCGATTCGGTACATCTTTGAGGCGATTGGGGCGGTAGGGAAGGAGTACGTGTACCCGCTCATACCACTCCTCGTGCGGGCCCTCACAGAGACGGAGATTCAGCACCGTCGCATGGCGGTGGAGGCGTGTCGGGCAATGACGCTGGCTGTGGCCGGCAACGACGGGTTCGAGGAGGTGATCGTCCACTTCCTCAATTTTATCCACCCCAACATTGTGGAGCTTCTTTCACGGAATGAGACAAAAATCAGCGAAGAACGGCTTAAGATGGTCACTGCTGTTGTAAGTTTCTACGAGGCCGCCCGCCTTGTGATTGGGCCAGCCAGACTGCTACAGTATCTCCTGCAGGGCCTGTTTCATCCAGCGAAAAAGGTGCGGGACATATACAGGAGGACATACAACATGATCTACATTGTAAGTCCAGAGGCCCTCGTGCCGTGTTATCCCAGACTGGAGGATGATGAAGAGCACACGTACGCCCGTCATGAACTGGAGGTGATTCTGTAGTTGATGGTGAAGCCTGTGTGTGGTTGTGAAATATTCCCTTCTACACCTCGCTCTTTTTTTTTTTTTTTCTCTTTTGTGGAGGTTAATTATCCGAAATTTTAGGACTGTAGGGATGAACACGCTTACACGGACACAAGTATCTTTACACTTTATGCATGTCTCTTACTTTTTTTTTCTCCCTTTTTTTTTTTTTTTTGCACGTGCCTTCACGCGGATACCATGTGAGTCTTCAGCGGCTTTTTATCTTTGCTTTTTTTATTTTTTATTTTCATGCAACGTACGTGTTCGGGGTGCAACATGGAAGGAGCGAGGAGGAGGTTAGCTGAGAGACACACAAACACACAGATAGAGAGACATGCTTCTTGACGTCTCACGGGCGCCCGGCGAGCACACCTCCCTGGACGGCATCCAAGAGCTGCAGGACGCCGGGGAGGGAAAGAAGATTGGCACACTCAAGGCGCAATACAACAACCTCACCACGCTGAACATTTCCACAACGTTGGCAACGGCGCTCCAGCACGTCACTTCACTGACGGTGTCTTATAATTGCCTAAGCACCCTACAGGGACTGGAGGCCTTTCCTCTTGTGGAGTTTCTTGATTTGAGTCACAATTCGTTGCGGGTGCTGGATGCCCATTCCACTTCCATACTGCGTCGATTGAGATTCCTTTGCCGCTGCGACTTCTCTTATAACGAAATCCGTCTCATTGACTTCGACACGCCTCTGCACGGCGGAAGCAGCAAAGAAAATGGGGCACTCGGGAGTGGCGATTGGTTTGATAACGCCACGCTGAATGAACTCACGGTGCTGAATCTGGCACACAATCAACTTATTGACGTTCCGGACCTTCGTTGTATGCCTTTACTTGAGGAATTGAACCTGGAGTACAATCGTATTGAGCAATTGACGGATCTTGAGAGCCGCCTCCCTCTTTTGGCGCTTACATCCCTGTCGATTGCCCATAATGGACTGCGGTCACTGCAGGATTTTCTTCCACTCACAGTTCTTGCGGAAACATTGAAGGTCTTGTTTTTTAGGGGAAATCCCTGCACAAATAACGCCACCGTCACCAAGGGATGCGCTGTGCGGCCCTGGCTGCTGTGGATTCTGCCGCAATTAGAGGTCATCGATGATGTTCCACTCACCCAAGAGGAGTGTCAGACGGCGGCACAAATGTTCCGGCAACACGGGGAGCTTAGTTACGAGGCGATGGATGTGATGAACAGCCATCACGGTCTGCAGCTCGAGGCATACCTGCAGAAGTTTTCGTCCCCCCCTCAGGCACAGAGTGCGAGGCTTGTTGGAGACATGATGCCGGGAAGGAAAATGGAGCAATCCACGGCCTCATTGATGGGGGCGGGATCGTCGGTCTCTCCATCTCTAGGAGGCATGGCGGCCCGTTTACCGAATATGGCGGGCGCACCAAAAATGGGTGCCGGTGCCAGTGACAGTTTTTTGCGGCCGCAACCCGCCGAGACGGTGCTGCCAATGATGCAAAAGAAGCTGAAGCAGCTGTCCGGCGTCGTGGAGGTGCTATGGAAGGAGAGTATGTCACGACGTGTGTTTGCCACGGTTGTGATACAAAAGTACGTGCGGGGATTTCTTACACTTCTGCATTTGCCAGCATCCATTCAAGGGCGCTGCGCACGCATTAGAAATAATCTTCGCCGCTCGTTTTCTAGATATTCATTGCTCCCGCCATCCCCACCACCACAACAGCAACAGCAACAGACGACGAGGACGATGGCCCCAAATGCGAATGTGAGCGAGGCTCAACGATCCCACAACAACGGCCGTGACCCAAACGAGTATGCGGTTTTGGTAAAACAATTGAGAGCTTTGGAGTCCCAAGTGCGTCACATGTCGGGTCTGATGGGTGAGTTCCGTCAATTTTTGAATCAGAGGAGAAACGCAGCTGCTATCACGATTCAAAAGCACTACCGCGGCTACGTTGATAGGAGGCATTGGAGCCGTCTCAAGAAGCTATACGACGAGTTTGTTGCTTCATTGCGGCCGGAAGTTGTCATGATACAACGTGTATGTCGCGGGTACCTTAGCCGCGTGAGGCTGATGCGGTGTTGCAAGAAAACACGGGAAATACGGCTGCTGCAGGCGGAGGTCACGCAACTTCGTTGCACCGTTGAGGAAATGCAGGCGTTTATTGAGCAGAGCCGGCGGCGGCAGCGGCTGGAGCGGTACGCCGATCCCGAGAAGGCGATGGAGGACATCGTCTCCACGTACACCACCTCACGAGTCTCTCAGTCACACGAGTAGAAAACACGCAGGAGAAAAAAAAAAAAAAAAAGAAGAAAAAAACACACACAAAAAAAAAGCAGGCAGAAGAGGGAGGAATGTCGGAAAAACTAAAAAACTAAAAAAAAAAAAAAAGGAATAAAGAAAGACAACAACAGCAACAACAAAAAGACGCGATAAGAGAAAAGGAACACCAAACGCACACCATAGAGCCACGTCATTATCTGCGGCATCATTATTTTTATATATGGAAAAAGTCGATATGTAGACATGTAGACATGTACAACGATCTCAAGAGACTTAGCAGGCAGCTGTGAAGGGCCGGTGCGTGGAGTTCAGTGAGGGTTTTTATTATTATTGTTTTTGTTGTCACTTTTGTTTGTTGCTTTTTTTTTTTTTTTGTAGGAGAGTTTGCGCGAACCCCCTCTACTGAGGCGAAAGTCTTTCTTTTCTTTGTGGTTTTTCTACTTTTTTTTTTTTTTTTTTGTCTGTCTTTCTGTCTGTGGATTTCTTTCGCGCTTTCTCTACTGCGGTACGATTGTGCGGGTTATATTCTCTGGTTATATGCGCCTGTTCTACGGATTTTTTCTTTATGTTTGTTTGCCCATCTGTATGTGTGTGTGTGTATGTGTGTTGTTGTGAATGCCAGTTTATCTCTTTTTTTCATTTCTTCTCTGCCACAGCAGTCAACGCCGAGGGAAATTTTGAGTCTGAGGGGCAGGGACTACATGGTTACGTGCGTGTGAGTATCCACACGGCAGAGATCAAAAAAAAAAAAAAAGGGAGAAGCTTAACAGAAGAAGAAAAACAAACAACAACAACTGGGACGAAGAGGAAAGGTGAAGTAATGGTGGCGACGCTGAATCACAACTCCGTCCCGAGAACTACCAACTTCTACGAGAATAGTTTGAAGCAGCTCAGTGACATTCAGCAGAAGCAGACTGGTCTTCTTATTGGCGCTGTGGTTGCTGATGCAGCGGCACGTGGATTGGATGGGTGCTCGGCCGATGAAATTGCTGAGTTTGCGAGGGCACAGGCGAAGTTTAATAGTGGCGGCGGCGAGGAGGAGGCCGAGGAGGAGTTGCTTGTGTTTGTGCGGGCCGGTCCCCAACGCCGTTCTTCTGGTCCTTCCCTGACAGGTGCACTGCAGCATCACTCCTACACATGCCTACTCCTGCGGCAGCTTCTCCGTGCTATGGCCTCCGCGCGAGGGGAGTTTCCTGTGAGTTACGTCAAGGACCATTGGGTTTCCATCGCCCGTGCGCACCCGCAGTGGTTTGCAGCTGAACATGCCTCGCTTTTGAACGTGTTGGGGGTTGTTTTGCCATTGCCAGTCATTTATCCCTGGGCAGATGACACGACGTTGCGATCGTACGCGACGCAGTTTATTGACTTTCTCACAGAGCCCCCGGTGGGACAGGCGGCGGCGGAAAAAACACGGAGCGCCGTGAAGTCATACACATTCTCCGCACTTGGTGTTGCGTTGCGCTGCTTGCAAAGCAACCCTGATCCATCCCGCAATGCCGCTATAATGGCGGTGCCAGGAACGGCAGATTTGTTTCCTGAAGACCTTGCATTGCTTTGTCCAGCACGAACGCATAAAGAGTTGCTGTCGCAATTAATAGACGCCAACTCCACGGGGTGTGCGGCCGGAGGGGCTGCGGCTACCCCCATTTCCATGTGCGGGGGCAGCAGTTCCTGTGGTGCTGGCAGCCCGTCTTTGCCCGTTTCTGCTCGGCCTTTTGTTCGGGATGTTTGTGTGGCCCGCGAGGCTCTCGTCGTGGCGAGAAATGCTCGCTCATTTGCGGACGGTGTTAGGGCGGCCATTCGTTTGGGCGGACCCGTATGCCAGCGGAGCCTTCTTGTTGGCGGGCTGTTGGGCGCACGTATGGGGGTGCGCTGTATTTCACCAAGCTGGCTCAGCGCGACGCATGACCACAGCCCGCTCGCCACCTTGGCGATTGAGGTGGCGCAGTGGAGTTGGAACCCACCGCACCATTAGAGGCACAGAAACAGCTGGATTTTTATTTTATTTTTTAATATGACACCTGCACAACTATTGAAAGTGACTGGAACGACATGCGGTTCATGGGATATATATATAAATATATATATATACATTGCTTTTTAATGAAACTATGATTTGAATTTCTTCTCTTCTGCACCATTATGCCGGTACGTGTTGGTCCGTTTCTTTCCATTAGTTATTATTTATTATTATTATTATTATTATTATTTTTTTTGTGGTCCCAACAGCCACGACAGACACACGCGCACACAAAAAGTAGTTTTCATAGACGGGGTATTTGAGGTGACGAGGCCCCAGCAGTGCGGAGAAAGCGGAAGGCAGAACAGCAAGAAAGAAGAAGAGGATATTTGGGGGCAGGAGAGGGAAACAGACTGCAACGGAAGGGTGGTGAAGGAAGGGAGATGAGCGCGGCCGGTTCGCGTCGCGTGCATTCCTCTCGTGGCAGAAGAACTCATCCCTCACAGGCTGTGGAGGGAAAGAAGCCGTCAGGAAGCGTCACCCGGCTTCCCAGCATTCGCAACTCCGCCCCCCGTGGCGGTCGTTCGCGTTCCTCCATCAGCGAAGCCGGGAAGCAGAGGCGGGTGCAGCGGGATGCGGAGCTTATTTTGGCGGAGTGTCTTTGGCACTTGTGTGGTGAAAATGCGGAGGAGACGATGAACAACGTTCTTGCCGTCGTGAATATGCGACGTAGCGGTGCGCTTGAGCCGCGAAAAGGGTTGCCTTTATGGCAGCGCGTGCAGGCCATTGTGGTGGTTGCCAATCAAGAGGGAGTCCGGCGTATTCAGATGGCGATTCCGTGTGAAAAGGTGCTGTTTTTCTTTGATAGTTCGCTGCGTTTGTTGGAATTGCCGTCAAAGATCTCTTGCCCTTTGCGACAGGACGAATTTGCCTCGCTCCCGTCACTGCGCAAGTATCTTGTTGGGGCAACTCTGAACAACAAGGCATTTCTGCAGAAAGTGGCAGGGGATCCGGCTCATGTCGTCGTGCAGACACTCCTGCATTCCCTCAAAGAGCAGCGAGCCGCGTTTTCCACCATGACGCTTTACAATTTGGCGGTTGTTATGGTGGCGGTGCAGCGGTTTGAGCTTGCCAGCCATTTTATTGCCTGCTGCAGCGAGTTGATCGAGGTGTGTTTGCGCATCGACATATCGGGATGCAAAGAGGTTCAGCCCCTTTACAATGCATACATTGTAAACATTGCCAAACATGCCATCACGTGCCACCACTTAGTTGCAGCGCTCGCCGCGTGGTGCAGAATGCGTGACGTGGAAATGTATCACTGCCAGCTTGCTGTGTGCTGTGCTCAACGTTTTATTGACCCCAAAAGTCTTCTTGCCATTCGCTGCAAGCAACGACTGTTGGCAGCCAGGGATGGAAGCAGCGCATTGATGATGAGTGAAAATGAGCCACCGCGACTGCCAATGCTCACAGACGATTTATCTCTTGTGTCAGATCCTCTTTTTATTGTGCTACTGGAGCGGGTGGAGAAGATTCAGGTACCGTCGAGGCTTGAAAACTACATGTCCCAATTGATGTCGCGTCGAGGGCCACTTGCCTCTTGCAAGCTCGGGTTTCTGCCGCCAATCAAAAAGGGGCGGCAGCGCTCGCCTGGAACAAAGCGAGTTCCCACTCCCGGAAGAAAACGCACTCCGACATCGCGAGAGCGTTCGCCCATGCAGAGGAGAGTCATGTCAAGTTCCGGTAGAAGAAGCCAACCGAAATCAGGAGAAAAATCAGAAATTTCCATCAGTACGACTGCAGTGATGGAATCATTTAAAAAGGAGCGGGCCGCCACACCACCGAGAGACGAAGCCGTATTTTCCATGAGGCCCAGCTCAAGACCGGGGTTTCCAGCCCTCATCACACTTGTACCCAAGACAGCGTTTTACTGCTACAAGCACCTGCGGAAGGAACTGCGTCAGTTAATGCGCGAGCTTGGCGATCATGTAAGTTATGAGACGACAGCGACGACGAACCTAACAGAGGGCCGGGAATCATTGGGAGGGATAAGTATTCATGAAAGCATCATCTCTGAGAGCAAGGTGGTTTCACCGAATCCTAAAACTTACATGCAAATCATGGATAGGAAGCTGCGATTTCTGTCGAGGGTTTTCCCAGATGAAGATTTTGAAAGAAAAAAACTCGCAATTGTTATTATACAGAGTTTCTGGCGAGGAGCCGTTGACCGTCGTGAATGTCGCCGACTCCAGTCAATGGTACATGAGACTACCATCAGGCGTGAGGCCGCTGAGATCATTCAGCGTGCATTTCGCAACCACTGTGCTACTCGAGAGTGCATACGGAAAAAGAAGGAACTTAGAGCACATCGAATTGTTGTGCAGCGGGTGACGCTTATTCAGCGTTATCTGTATCAGAAGAACAGCGTGGAAAAAACTGGGGGGAAAAAAGTCATTTTAATTAAACGAGCCATTGCTGAAATATTGGAAGCACGTCGGAGAAACGCTGCTGCCATTCGTTTACAGTCATTTTGGCGTATGTGCACTGTGTGGATGTGGCTTCGTCGTGTTGTGGCAGCGACTAGGAAGATTCAGTGTGTATTGAGAGGGCACAGGGGAAGAGTCAGGGCGAGGGAGAGACGTGTCTACGTCCGCTTGGAGGAGCAGAAGCGGATAGCCAGGCACACTATGGCTGCTCGGCCCATTCAGGCGTGGTGGAGAAATGTGTTGTTGCTTCGTGCGTGCAAAGCCATTTTGACGCGCAGACAACGCGATGTCATGGTGTACCTGGAAGAAATAGAGGAAAAATTTAATGTAGAGTGGGAGCGCATCAAGCACCTCCCCAACGTGGAGCTCTGCATACTGAAAATATTGGCTGTGCTCCGAGGCTTCCACTGCCGTGTGGAAATTGCATGGCAACGGAAACGCATGCACATTCTTCGTCGCTTTTTTCTGTGCATTTTATGGAAAAAACGAGAACAACGACGCCTAAAGTGCCTACGGGAGGAGCGGCAGGGATCTCGCATGTTGCGGCGTCGGCGGGAGGAGGTGTTGGATGCGGTTCTCCGTATACAATGTGCTGCTCGCCGTTGGTTGGCCTCTCGAGTACGAAGCGTTTTGTGGGCGGAGTTGCAGAGCAAGCATCATCAGGCCCGCGTTATCCAGCGCACATATCGACGTCATGTGGGTCGACGGTGGATTCGTGCCCTAAAGGAGGAAGCGAGGCTTGAGGAGGAAAAGCGCATGGTGGGTCAGATAATCCATTACAGTGCCTCTAAGATTCAAGCCACCTGGCGCATGTATATTGAGAGACGCTCCCAGGCGGAGTACCTGCGCTTTCTTCTCTGGGAACGCCATATACTCTCGTCTCGCATCCAAAGGGCCTGGCGTGCGCACAAGGCTCGTCTTCAATCCCATTGGCGGCGCCTTCACGAAGAAGATACGCATCGTCATTTCCAAGAGAGACAGTATCGGCTGATGGCCGTGATTCGCATCCAGTCTGTTGTACGCATGTTTCTTGCGCGTCAAAAACTGTTGCATGCAGGAGTGAGGCTGCGACCCACCCCGGCGTTTTTGAATTGGTGTGCACAGCGAATACAGTGCGCGTGGCGCCGTTACGCCGCCTACGAGTATGTGCAGCAGCTCCGTTTTTCGCGTTCTTACTACGATCAGCAGAAGATAAATATGGAGTCGTTGTATACTTATGCGACAATGATCCAATCTTTGGTGCGGGCTAAAATTCTGAACGTGCGGCGTGTTGCGGCTCGTCTCCTCGAGGTGGAAAATGACGATGAGGACCACAAAAGGAAGCGGGAGGCGGCAATGCGATCGTATTACGCCGCCATCACCACACAGCAGAAAGGGAGGCTTTTGGAAGATTTTCTCAGGCCACAACCAGCAACGCCGACGTCATCCGTGACGACGGAGGGAGTTGCATCTTCCCCAGCGGATGCAGGGCCTGAGGACTCCCAGGAAGATGGCGAGAGGCTGGCAGAGGAGCTTGTGCAGCTGGTCCAGCGCTGTGGTCGTGGTGCCCTGGCGCGTCGCAGCATGTTTTCCGTGCTCTCTGACACCCCGCGATGGAAGGCGGCCGTGGATATACAGCGTGTGTGGCGCGGCTACTGTTCGCGACAGCTCGTGGAGGTGTACTATGAGTTTTTTGTGGAGGAAGTGAGGACGGAAGGCGACAGAAGCGAAAAGGGGGGAAACATGGAAAATGTAGAGGAGTTTGTCAATTCACAACCAGCAACGCCGACGTCATCCGTGACGACGGAGGGAGTTGCATCTTCCCCAGCGGATGCAGGGCCTGAGGACTCCCAGGAAGATGGCGAGAGGCTGGCAGAGGAGCTTGTGCAGCTGGTCCAGCGCTGTGGTCGTGGTGCCCTGGCGCGTCGCAGCATGTTTTCCGTGCTCTCTGACACCCCGCGATGGAAGGCGGCCGTGGATATACAGCGTGTGTGGCGCGGCTACTGTTCGCGACAGCTCGTGGAGGTGTACTATGAGTTCCCTGCGGAGGAAGAGGGGACTGAAGGCGACAGAAGCGAAAAGGGGGGAAACATGGAAAATGTAGAGGAGTTTGTCAATTCACAACCAGCGATACCGACGTCATCCGTGACGACGGAGGGAGTTGAGGGAGTTGAGGGAGTTGCATCTTCCCCAGCGGATGCAGGACCTGAGGACTCCCAGGAAGATGGCGAGAGGCTGGCAGAGGAGCTTGTGCAGCTGGTCCAGCGCTGTGGTCGTGGTGCCCTGGCGCGTCGCAACATGTTTTCCGTGCTCTCTGACACCCCGCGATGGAAGGCGGCCGTGGATATACAGCGTGTGTGGCGCGGCTACTGTTCGCGACAGCTCGTGGAGGTGTACTATGAGTTTTTTGTGGAGGAAGTGAGGACGGAAGGCGACAGAAGCGAAAAAGGGGGAAGCGCGTAAAAGGAGCAGCAGTGATGTAACCAGCAGCAACGGATGGCGATTTGCGATCTTTCCTTCTTTCTTTCTTTTTCAGTATATATACATCCATTATGTATATGTGGATAATATGTATGTATTTCTGTGTACGTGGAGGGGTGGTTGGGTTTTTGTCTTTGGGGAGGAGCGAAGAGGGGTGCGGTGGGGTTGAGGCCCTTTAGATGTACAGCGTGTCGTGTCACACGGGTTGTGAGAGGCGGGCGCACGCTCTCCGTCCTTCCGTACGTATTTGTTTTTGTCTGTCTGCTCAGTGTTGTGGTGTGCATGTATACCAGCACAAGTGTACGCATGCACAGTAGAAATGTGTGTTTGTGTGCCTGGGCACACTTGAGGCGAACCAAAAAAGGCGGACGGGAGGCGATATCTCCCAACCTTCTTTTGTTAATTTGTTGTCCTTCATTCTCCTTCACCCTCCATTTGGCTGCAAATAAAGGGAACCAGAAGGAAACAACAAACACTCAAATAATAGTAAAGAAAAAAAAAAAAAAAAGGAGTAGAGGGAACTTAGGGGAACAACATTAACACCACAACACACACGCGCAAAGAAAAAAGGCAGAAGGACGATATCAAAGTGGATCATTAAAAACAACAACAACAACAACAATAATAAAATAGAAAAAAAAAAAAAAAGGAAGCCCACAAAAAAGGCTGAGGATCACGCGGAAAAAGATACACAAGTATCCACAGACAAACACATATAAGAAGAAGTGGGGGGAGGCTATTGGCAGAAAAGAAAAGGAATATGCAGGTAATGCCATCGGATCGAGATCGATATCGTTACGAAGAGGAGGATGAGGAGGAAACACTTCCGTTTGAGGGACTCGAGAAGACCTCTGCGCTGCAGCAATGCCGAGTGTTTAACGATGTGCGTCTTGACATTTCCTCCTGTCTGCGCTCCATGACGCAGTGCCTTTATCTCTTGTGCACCGGTACAACGCTGACAGAGACGGAGGCGACGGATTTGTTCTTCATGTCTACAAAACTTCTGCAGTCCACCCACCCGAAACTTCGCCGACTTCACTATGTGCTAATGAAGGAATTGAGCCCATTGGTGGAGCAGCGCTTCATTGCCTCCAACTCACTCATGATTGACATCAAGAGCAATAATGATGCCAGCAAGTGCAACGGCATTCGTACGCTGTTCAAGGTAATGAACAGCTCCCTCTATGCGTCCATGGACCGCACTATTGTGGAGGCCCTGACGTCACAGAGCAGCAATGTTGTCTGTGCCGCCCTCGTTACAGGGCTTCACATTGCTCAAGTCAATCCAGAAATGGCAAGAAAGTGGGGCACACAACTGACCGAGGTGATTCGCAGCTGTGGGAAGGCTCAGTATGCTGCCATTGCTTTGCTCCACAAAATGCGTAAAAATGATCGCCTCTCCGTCACGCGACTCATTGACCAGGCCAAAAGTGGCGTGATACGTTCACCAATGGCCCTGTGCCTTGTGATTAAGATGTGTACGGAATTAATGCGGGAGGACTTTGAGGGATCTCTGGACATCTACAAGTTTGTGACATCGATGATGCACAATAACAATGATTTGGTGGTTTTTGAGTCCGTCAAGTCTATTTGCTCCCTGCGCAACATTACGGCGAAGGAGGTGTCACCTGCTGTGATGGTGGTGCAACTGTACCTCAACACACAGAGCGCCGTGCTGCGTTTTTCTGCGATCCGTGTGTTAAATGAAGTGGCAACGCTGCATCCAGCTGCGGTCTCGCCCATCAACTCGGAGATTGAGAACCTCGTGACGGACCCGAACCGCATCATCGCCACCCTCGCAATCACGACGCTGCTGAAGACGGGGACGGAGTACACAATTGAGCGGCTCATAACACAACTTTCGACGGCCGGTTACTTGAGGGAGTTGGGCGATGAGTTTAAGATGGTCATCATTGATGCCATGCGTGTGCTGAGCGCCAAGTTCCCCGCAAAGTACAATGTGTTCCTCGGGTTTCTCTCCAAATTGCTGGCGGAGGAAGGAAGCAGCCAGCTTAAGGAGAATGTCGTAGATGTCACGATGGAGATTGCCAAGTCCAACCCCGACTCAAAGGAGTCTGTTCTGAAACATCTTGCCGAGTTCATTGATGACTGCAATTACTCGCAGATTGTGCGGCGGGTGCTGATGTATCTTGGGGAGGAGGTGCCACTGACAGAAAACCCAAAGACGTTTGTGCGCTATGTCTATAATCATGCGACGCTGGAGGGCCCCGAGATTCGCGCTGTGGCAGTCAGCACACTGGCTAAATTGGCAGCGTATGTACCCTCACTGCGTCGGTCCATCGTCGTCCTGTTGAAACGTACTTGCAATGATGCGGACGATGAGGTGCGGGATCGCGCCGTTCTTTACACACGAATTTTTCTTAATAATGATGAAAATATCATTCGTTCTATGGTGTGCGATGTCGCCAACACTGTGGCTATGAGCCGCCAGGCACGGATTGCCGCAAGATCTGCCGTGCTGAATACCGTAGCGGAAGACATTGGCCGACAAAAGGCCATCGCAAAGGAAGCTGAAAGCGGTACAGAAGAAGCATCGGCAGTTAGCCATGCTGTGCTGCAAGGGCGAGAGAAGATGCAAAAAATAAAACAACTGTTGGAGCTTGGAGAGCCACTTGTCAGCAGCGAGCCGGTGCCATTGACAGATCCTGATAGCGAGTATGTGGTCACGGTGATGAAGCATACATACATCTCTAATATAGTCCTCCAGTTCAAGGTGAAGAACACGATGGAAAAGGTAACTTTTAAGAACATTGCGATTGAATTGGATACGGACGAAGTGGGGGTGGAGCCGCAGTACTTCATTCCCATCGAGTCGGTGGCGCCCGCTTCCATGAGTTACGGATATGCGGTGCTACGCTATGAGGAGGAACAGTACCCGAGTGGCACCGTGGAGTGTCGCTTCAAGTTTGCCATGCAGGAGGAGGGTGGCGACGTTGAGGAAGAGGAGGAGTACCCACTGGAGGGCTTTGACATC